TGCAAAAGTGCTCAATATAAGAGATAGCCAGTGAGTCAGTTATATGCCGTGCGTGATACACGTGTAGGCGATCAAGTATCGAAAGATACATGACTGACGAGGCAGATTTTTTTCTTGCAGTAGGTTACCATTTCTTTTGGGGGTAGACCGGTTGCCATCCAAGGCTATAGAACCCGGGAGGGGGGGGAGAAGAAGAGGATTTCCCAAGAGTATTAGGACGTAAGTGAATGTAATGTATTCGACTGGAATTCGAACTCGGCTCTCAATCCTCTATCCATTACTCCAGAGCGTATGGAAAACATAGATGTGGACAGTGAGGTCAACATCGGGAGGCAACAGCCTGGACTGAAGATTGCATTCAAGCACGAAAAAGGCAATCGCTAACTATTACTTTACCGTACATCTATTATCGCATTAATTCGATCCAATTATCCCATGTATACATCGTGCAACTATGCTGGGCGTTACATAAGCGTTTCTCAGTGAAATGCATTTAGTTGGCGGTTCCTAAGTTAGATGCAACAAATTTTATTGCGTTGTATGGTAGCATCGGTAAGAATAATCCCATGGCCTTTTCAGATCGGCGGTAGATTCACCCTTTTCCAAGGAAATAAGTGTGAAGTAAACTGATATAATGGAATATGCGTACACCTATGTTCCCCCTCATGATGATTGGCTGGTGTCCGTCATAAATACCGACGGACGTGTCGGTGTGACACAGTCAAAGAGCCTTAGTCTGAGAGCTAAGTCTATAACGCCATTGATCTACACTTCTTAACTGCGACTACGACGCGTACCAGTCGATTACTGCTACCGTATTCTACTTGGTTATAGTAGCCAAAACCACTTAGCTACTTCGTTCAAATATATCCCTTTACGGGACATATCATAAAGACTAACTCTCTCACAGAGCTTTTGAATCTAATTAAACGTTACGACAACTCGGCATCTCAGTTGTTTTAAATACAATTTCTATTAATAATATTGTTGTTATTTCTGGCGTTTGATATTTGTTATTGTTTTTGCGACAGTATTAGTAATTTTCATAAAAGTGCCTCAGGCAACCCCTTGTTCATGACACCATTTCAATGGTAATCCCTTGCCTTTCTCGCACGCACATGCGCACAGATGTGCTTATAAATGGACGCCGACCATCGACAATGAAAGATAAAGAAGAAAAAGCAAATACGCATAAATACACTTTGTCTTTTATTTCTTGTATTTGCCTGCGGATGTTTTATTTTGGCATTCTATGTCTGCAGTAAAATCATTTAGTTTAAGTACAGTTTGCAATTCGTTTCTATGCTAAATGATTTGAACTGTATTTTATTATAAAAATAATGACCCTATGTTTCCTCACGTTTTCTTATAGCTTTATGTGGCCTCTAGTCCTTTTAATATACATATAATAGCCCTATGTTACTTCAAATATTTTTATTATATATATAATAGCCCTTTGTTGCCCTAATATTTTATTATACATATAATATCCCTATGTTGCCTTAAGTATTTGTATACATATAATAGGCCTATATTGCACTAAATATGTTTATTATAAATATAATAGCCTTATGTTGCCTCAAGATTTTATTATACATACAATAGCTCTATGTTACCTTAAGTATTTGTTATACATATAATAGCCTTATGTTGCATGAAATATATTTATTATACATATAATAGCGCTGCTGCCTAGGTTTTTTTTATTATAGCGAGTGTAACAGCAAAATTGTTCAAATCGTGTTCCAGCATACGATAATTGTCCGTCCCACAAAATGTTTAATATCTAAAAATCCACTAAACATTTTTTCTCGGTTTTCAGATAAGACGTTTCTCCATCTTGACACCATTAGTCGTAAGAGTCACTGAAAAACGCTTTGTGTTATTCAGCTAGAAAGAGAACTGGTTAAAAAAAACATCTAGTATCGGCCCCACTGTCTTCCCAAATGTGCAATGGTGGGAGGAAAAAGATCATTCAGGCCTTCAATAATGGCACTAACATTCATACTCCGGCTTCCATCTTCAAATTCCATCCAAGAACCATCAAATGATTGGTGAAGAAGTTTAAAAAAAGGGAGCAGCAGAGAGGAAAACTGGATAAGGATGTCACAACAGGAAGAGGGATCTTCATTTCAACATAGAGCTAAAGAGATCAATTAGAAAAGATCTAACTCAATCCACGAGAGAGAAGTTTCAGCTATGACAATACAAAGTGCACTGAAAAAAGATTTGAAAATGAAATCGTACGCGGAACCTGTGAGGCATTTTGCTACTCCAGGACAGAAAGTTAGAAGGCTCGAGAGGGTGAAGATCATCTCGAATAAGTTGGAAAATGATCCTGAAATAATATATATATATATATATATATATATATATATATATATATATATATATATATATTTATATGTTTGAATTTTATTTCAACCCTTCAAGAGCTTCC